ATGGCGGCGGGAAGAGTCTGGCGGTGGCGCAGAAGAGGGGGGTGGTGGAGGAGAGTGATGAGGAGAGGGATGAGAGGCCGGGGAATGAGGCGATGAGGAAGATGAGGAAGATTGCGCAGGGGATGTTGAAGAAGAGGGGGATGGCGGATGAGTTTAATATTGGGTAGATGGGACTGTTGTGGTGGGAGGATGTTTTTTTTTTTTTGTTTTTTTTTAATAGTATCAAAAAGTCTTTTTGTTTTTTTCTTTGTGATGGGCGTTTGGGGCCATGAAAAAGATACCTGTTTTGTATGATATGTTGATCGGGTATGTAGATATATTTTATGGGAAGCAGCAATATAAGGGTGTCTTTGGTTGGAGTATTCCAGGTCTTTCCATCGTTGGGGGTTTGGATCACCTGCGACTGTGCTTCCCTTATCTCATTAAAGATTCGACCGGCCAAACTAAAGAACCAAGATAAGAATAGGTGTTCAAAGACAGGCTGTCGAGTCAACCTCCAATCTGTAGATACAAGCCAACCGGCAATGGCATAGTTAACTGTCCTTGCCCGCACCCAACAGTCGCAATATTCAATTCCAGTAATATCTAGATAACCTATAGGTATATGACCAAGTAATGAACGCCCACCAAACTGCCTGTTTTTCGCACAACTCATCACTCGGGGGATTGTAATAAATCATAAACTATCACTCGACGACATCAATACCGTATTATCTGAGAAATTTCGCCGCGCATATTCAGCAGGGGTATAAGCCAACCACTAGAGGCAGTCTTTGGACGTCAATATGAAAGTTTTGGTGTAGAATATCCCTGCTATAGCGCAATGAATTTTCTCAGATTTTGCGGTATAGCAAAACAAGTTGATTGATTAGTTGATACATTGATTGATAATTCATTAATTGATGATCACAAAAGGACTTGGCCAAAGATCTTGCCTCGCATGCAAGAAGATGTGAGATAGAATGGCACTCGAGTCGGAGAATGTTTCCTCTCGTCGATGTCCGAAATGAGTTGGTTGTAATTACCTATATGTAGGCTTATTTTAGACCATAGCCCGCCATTAGACCTATAATTGGCACCTGTCTCGGCTTAGGTCTGTGTAAACAGTTATGGAGGGAAAATGCCGACCCCAACCCTGATATATTTGAATATATTTAGACAGAGACAGAGAAGTTTTTATCCTTACTCCCCATGTACTAGGAAAACGAGACTTTGGATTTTAGTCAAACCCACTCCCATGATCGGCGTGCAGACCCTCGGTCTATTGTCCGTATGTAGGTTTTCAGGTAGATATAGAAGCCCGGTCCTGGGAATCAATACTAGTGAATAGATAAAGCTGTTTCACGCCGACCTGTGGGCATAGTCTACGTCTGGAGATGGGCGTAGGCATGGTGTCCCTGCAGATATGTCAGTGAATAGATCGAGCCTAAGCACCTATGGTGGGCGCGTGTGGTTTGTATGTGTACCTATTCTCGTTCGCAGATTTTTTTGGAGATTTGTGTAGGTAATATGGGCACGAGATGAGACAGACCTCTTTAACTTTTTCTCCCCCACGTAAATATACTCAAAAAAAATGTCGGCTACATAGTTCCGGTTCACTCTTTGATTTGGCATTTCAAAAACTGGAGGTAAAAAAGGGGAGGTATAAAAAAAAAAGATGGTTTTCCGTAGCGGGAATCGAACCCCGGCCTCGCTGTCGTACTTGTTTCCTTTCGAGGGCATGCACCAACACATACGCCTCTTATGCTACGGAACCCGAAATAACTAAGTGCTAGGGGACATTATAAGATAGATATACATTAATTAGCATCATTATAGAACTTTCCCAGTCCTAAACTCACCTGACGAAAGGTCTCGAGTTTTTCGAAACTCACTTTAAAGGATACAAGGCGAGACGAGACTTTTCCCAACTCTCGTCTCGTCTCGTCTCGTTCCCCATCACTACTCACACACAGTCACTACATGAGAGAGAGTGCGCGTAGGAGTGAAAGTCTACCACACGTACACACACAAACTACCACTGTGATATGTTGATCCAATGGCATACACACATCCTACATCTCTTATTATATGATTATTATCACCATATCAATCAATCAATCAACCATAACACATGGGCGAGCGTCCAAATACCAGTGAGTGATATGTGATGATTCACACAAGATCTACGTTAAATTATTTCCTCCAAAATTACCCAGGTCGATTGATTTTCTATATGGCTGTTAGCTTCTAGAGTCTTATATATTGTGCTATGAGCTATCCTACCGCGTGCTCTAAGAGAAAAGTACTTAACCTGAATCAAACACCTCATTTTCACGACTACATGGATTATCTAAAGCGACATAAAGCAACAGAATCCTCAAGCTAATATAAGTGATGCTTCAGACATTGTAGGATCCGCACCTTGCGCATGTAGTTCTAACAAGTGTGTCTAGAAGCTACGCTACACACCAATGAAGCCCCTTCACTCACTTAGTGCCTACGTATACGTATACGTGTAATCAATTTCTACCATAGCTACCGTGCAACCTGTTGTTGTCCAGTCAAGCAAGCAACCCACAGAAATACTACCATCACCAATTACAAGTACCTTACATTCCAATCGAAATATTCATCCAATCACACATCTCTTCTCTTCACATCAAGATATCCATCAAAGCTACCAACCATGGACCGCTTAACCCTTCACGAAAAGAACATCCTGCACGAAGCCAGGACTAAAATCAGACTCCACCTTCAATATCTTGACGCACACCTTATATATTCCCCCCTTGTATATTGTATTCAAGTCGTCGATGAAATAATCGATCACATTGACAGGGTCAAAGCCCTTGCCGAGGCAGTCGTGCGTGGAGATGACACCAAAACCATACACATCGAGAACGCTAACATTTCACGAAAATCCACGCTTGAGTTGGCTAGGAAGATTGAGAACTGGGGAAAGGAGGGTGATATCACGGCTCAGTTGGGAGCATATAGCCAGACCGCTTTTAGCATCCTCTTCCCCGCGAATTCCATTGAAGATGCTGCTTGTGTAGCCTCTGAAGCTAGTCATAGCGATGACAATGAGTGAAGCTCTCATTAGAGAGCTGGTCTCAAGTCTACTTGGAGGATTTTCGGGCTCTGCGGTTGTCGGTTTCTTTACACGCTAATATTGATGGAAAAGAATGGCTTGGTAATTCATCTCAATTCTCCCTTACTTCCTTGCTTTTGTTCATATCATTAACATATTATTTAGATTGTGTCTTGAAGCTGGCACGAGTCGGTGATGTATTATATGGGATGTGAGATTCGATCTCATCTCATATAACAATACAATGGCAGCGTTTTTCTTGTACGGCATATAAACGTACATTTGAATTCTTGTCTTTTCTTCTGCCTATTGATCCTCCATCCAGTCGACTACACGTCTTTCAATATATCCTGGGATAGCCCACTAGGACAACCCAATTAAACAGATACTGACAACCATGTAACATCGACCTCTTCTACCTTGTGCCTGTCATAATCAAATAGTAAGACTTTTATTGGGTCAGCATATCCATCAAGTTTGTTAGATGAATAGCTATAAAGCCGCTAAGTGGGGTGAGTCAAATCAAACTTGGAAACGAGGATGTGCCTGTTCATCGTGGTATATATTAAGATAGATTGGAAACCATTCAGTATCTCTGCATATATTGCTCTTCCTTGTCCAGGATCCCTAGTCTCTGATTTCGCTGTTGATCCATAGCATTAATATGCCCGACTTCTGTGTACTGTTTGGAGCTTTCTGCTCCAGAAGACAAGAGGTGGGAGCGGATGAGGTGAGCCTTGGGATTCTTGGTCCACGTCCATAAGGGCTCACTATAATACTATATGTAATTGCCTGGAACTGCTTGTTTACACAACTGCCCATCAATTTCAAGTTACAAGAGTGAAAACTCCCAATGCAGCGCCCGGAATTCGGGACATCCGATGCTAGGAACCGTGCCCATATTTCTATGGTTTTATACATAGATAATAGATTCAATCTGAAGTTGTCTCTATTCCATCTACTCAGCAATCATTTGGCAGATGATGGTATATGAACCTCTGCAGGCACATAACGCAACCCCATGTCCTGCTCTGTGTTCCACATTGGTCGGTTTCACCCTGGTCGCATATGTATTATCCCGTTGAGTTACCATCAAATGGGGTTGACTAACATAACCCGTGCATGCAGGATGCTGGTTGAAGGCATGTTATTTTTCCGGTGCCTGGTTGGTTACCAATAACCAAACAATGCTGCTCGACATCGCTCGAAAACCTTAACACTGGGATACCCGGAACCACTAGGTCATAGTTCAGAGCTAGAAAAGAGAGCACGCGTATCGTTCCCCGTTGCGTTGAACGGGCTCAATCGATCCAAACCCCTCTGATGCAGGTTTGCAGGCTCGATCAGCTTACCTATCACTCAAGCCTGTGGATCTAATAATTGGATTATGGACTAGTATTACTTGAACCCTGGTTAGCGATCAATAGTATCCCTGCCAGTTTTGAGTGCTCTCATATAATTCAGGGATCTAGCCATATAGCTACGGCTCCATAAGTACTCCACGAAGAGTAGAAGACATAAATACAAGGGAACGGCCATCTGTGGAGGGCAGAACAGAGTCGGGTATGACTTGTACTCTAGGTAGAGGAGCAATTGAAGATGACTTGAACCAGGGTATGCTCCAAACGTATCTAAATGCAGTAAGTCAGTGGAGTACTAACGAGTGCGTACCTTGCAGGCTGCAGGGCCGCAGTTAGGATCCCATACCTTAGAATACACTCAGACAACGGTTCACCGGGTAACCAGCCCCCCGGACCCCCCGGTGTCAGCCTCAACCGCCCAAAGTGATACAATCCCCGAAACATCCATACCACACACAAGCCTCCCCAAAACAGAACAGCAAGAAACAGACATGCAATGTTAACGTGACAGGCACCTCTAACACCTCTCCAACCTCCCCCCACCGCCTCCAGATGCCGTCACCATCATGGCACTCCACAGACTCCATCGCTTCTTCTACAGCACCTCCTTCACCATCCTATTTCTATTCCTGTTTCTGCTGCTGCTCATCACCCCCGCAGACGCAATAGTGCAGGCATACTTCCGAAATTCACAACTCTACAACATCTTCATCATCGCCGGAACCTATGTCCTCACCGCACTTCTCGCCCTGGCGATATATATATCGCGCATTTACTCCGTCCGCCGGCTAATGGAAGAGATCCCCAAATCCTGGGCTCCCGTAAAGAAGATGGACCTGCCGAAACGCGTGCACAAGGCCATTGCCGGCAATCTCGGCAGGAGCGCCATCATCGCTGTACAGAGTCGTCCGAACCCGTCAACTGTGAGCGGTACTGGTGGCGTGATATCGCACCCGGGGTGGTCGGCGCCTAGCTCCGTGGACCTTCCCGAGGTCCACTATCTATCAGTAATTGCAGAGTTGCCGCACCTAATCGAAGCCAAGGCATTGTCGTTGCGTCTGGGAGGACAGGACTTGCGGAGGCAGCCGCATATGACGCTGAGAGCTTATTTGAGCCATCTCGCGGCGTTTGGGGTTGTGAAGGGAGGCGCAGCAGACCTCTTTCTGGATGGATATGAGAGGGCAAGGTTCAGGACGCGGAGTGCGGGGGTGGAAGAGGAGGAATTCAGGGGCTTGATGAAGGTGTTTGCGGGCCTTCTGAGAGGAATGGGGGAACATGCTCCCCCGTCGATACATACGCAGGAAGAGGACCTGAGCGGGTGGATCACCCATGATGAGGATGAGGATGACGAGAGGCACGGGGGAAGTGGGGTTGCAGAGGAGGAATATGGATACTCTGAGGGTGAAGGAAGCCTGTTGAGGAGAGGACCATTCATGAGCCTGGGCTACGAAACCACAACCACGGACGATGGAGACGAGGAGGAAGACGAGGGACTTCGATACACTCCTGATCCACATTCTGGCGGTCAACATTCATACTTTGACCGGCCAAGGACAAAAGAAGAGCATGACCTATATCTTGAACAAGAACGACAAAAAATAAAAAGCAGCCTAGGAAGGACTCGGATGCAACGCGCGAGAACATCATCATTAGGCAGTGCAAAATCTGCAGGAACTAAGGACGGCGAGGGATATGAGATGGTCTCATTATCCCCACAGTCAGATAGGGCGAGGGCCCAAAGATTAAGTGTTAGGGTTAGCACAGGGACGTTTGGATAGTGGAGCGTGGGGGTGTTTTCTTCTTTGTTTTTATTCTTCCTTCTTTTACGTTTGGGATATTCCCCACCGTACTTAATGTCTGGAACAAGAGTCACGAAAACGGAGAACCTATTGTTTGTATTATTTTTTGTAGTAGTATTTCTTTTTTTCTTTTTTTCTTTTTGGCAGTTTTGGTGTTGGGGTTTGTTGCTGTTCCTGGGTTTCTGGAGTTAATTATTTATCATAGATCGATCGAGTACTAAAAAACCACTTTGCTAGTTATTCCTATCTCCTTTTTTATTTATTTCTTCTTTTTGTTGGTGCGCTAAAACTTTCATAATCATTGAAAAAATCTTCCTTCAGTATATTGGTTTTATGGCTTTGCATTTATCGGTTTTAATATGGGCTACGTGTATAATATTGTTGCTGGCGGTGGATATAAGGGTCCACGAATGTACATTGGTTGCTAAGTATAGAATACGAATATCAAACGGACAGGACATATATTACTTATATTTCCCACGAGTACATATGTAGTTAATTGTGATGAATGTAAACCTGCTTTACTTGTGCTGTCTCGTTTAAAATGTAGTAGAGTCTTCATCGTTGTCATCATATTTAAAGTACACATCAAGCCCTGTATTGCCAAGCTACGTAGGCAGATTGCCAGCCGTTAGCTTGGTGTAGTGCTACACTCGCCGGTTATTCAAGTAGGTGGCTTAAACCCCCCGTAGCAAAAGAAAGAAGGGGGGGGGGGGGATTGGGCTCGTGTCACCTCCTTTTTGTTCTTTTTTTGTTATCAAACTGACAGTAACTTTATGAAAGCCCTTCCTTAATAATTCTGCGAAGTCTAGAAACACAAAAAGACAAACGAACATACGAGTGATAGTTTATGATCCATAAATAAACACCACAGAGACAACTAATACACTTTAAAAATACAGCATGGTCTAAGCGAATACCAATACATTTTCCACCACTAAGTCTCCTTTGTAACAGCATTCTTAGCCTGGGTCCACATAAACTCCATCTTGGCCCTTTCAAGTCTTTCCTTTGCCAGGGCGTCTGTTGGACATCGTTCCGTCGTGAATTTCTTGAAGCCCTTCTGCTTCAGCTCTCCCTCCCATACGAGTGTACACATGTTCTTCTCCATATCGACTTCTCCAACCTCCTCCTGCTCTCCTTCCTCAGCACCCTCCTTGGGCGCAAGCGATTCCTTCCAGTCGATACGGTTGACCATCAATTTCCTATACTTACTGATCGAATACGATCCTCCCTCGACGATAACCAGATTAAATTTTGGGTTCAGTATACAGATACCAGTAAGTGCAAGTTGCTCCGCATTGATGTTAATCTTATATCTGTGCCGACCATTTGCAAGAGTTTCGATGCGGAAGACAAGACAGCGTATTCCCATCGCCTGATCTTTCTCCTGGTTCACATGAAGTTTTTCGTGACGTTGCTCTTTGCTGAGTTTACGTTCTTCGTTCATTTTCAAGTGTGTTTCATATCTTTCTTGGATTTCTCTATTAACCCTTGCCTCAACTGCGGTAGGATCTTTAACGGCCTCGTCTCCAAGAACTCTCATGAGATTGCTCTTCTTAATCTTCGGAGGAGGCGGGGGTTCCAGTCCGAGGCGTACTTTTGCTTGCTTCTCTTTAAGAGCTTCTGCACGACGCTGGCGGCGAATCTTCTTTTGTTCGCGCTTGGTAAGAGGCATAGGTTTTGGAGGTGGTGCTAGGTTGTCTTGGGGGGGTGCGAGTAGAACGGGATGTTGAATATATGATGTGATTATGGAGTCGGCGGTGTTTATAAGAAGTGTTTCCGGTGTTAGAGATAGATAAGACGACGCAGTTGTGAGGCCCTGATCCCACCATTCGATATCTGGTGGCGGTTCACGCTTTGAACCGACAAAACGTTAGCCTCTACCGAAAAAAGGACAAAGAGTATACGAAGTCTCGGATACTCACAGCAAAGGCCTTATCAGCATGCATATCCTCATCAATTCCGACCTTCCGTGCCGCCTCGGCGATCCTCTTCTTCATCGTCTCCAATGCTGCTTGTCGACGTAAAGCATTGGCCTGCTCAATATATTTCCCCTTCTGATTGAACACCAATGTTTTATTTAGCCTCCTCGGCGCAATTGCTTTCGACGACAGGTTCGGATCAAAGTACGGGTTTTTTGTCGGATCAGTCAAGTCTGGCGAAGGTCCAGAAATGTCAAGCTGTTTCTTTCCTCGGTTTTTGCCGCGCTGAATAGCATCAGGACGTCGATTCGCCATTGTAGTCGCGAACTTCGGCGCCAGGCCACCCTTCCCCCCCTTTCGCACTCCCATATCACCACTGTCTCCTAGCAATGCAGGATGAAGTCCAACATCCAGACCTCCCCTGGCTTTTGGTCCATCATCAACCTCCTGTTCCTCTCTTCTATGGTTGAACGAAGGGACCGCTGGAGGTCTGTTGGGAAGACTCGCGGCGATACTAGCGGATCTTGAGACCGCCCCTGAAACGCGTGCCCTCATGGCCGCCAAACGGTCCGCAGCTGTTTGGGCTGCAGATTGGGGTGCAGCAGGGGCAGTTTGTTGCGGCTGCTGCTGTGAGGTAACTACACCCTTCTTTGAGGCGATAGCGGCAGCTCTGGCTCGAGCTTCCGCTATCATCTTTTGGATCTTTTCCTGGTCGGGAGGGGCCATTTTGGGTTTTTTGTTGGCTCCGGGAGGTTGTTCTTCAGAAGGTCGCTTCAGCGATGGCTGCACTGTAGAGACCATGATAGAACGCGGGGTGGCGGGCGTCAAGTAAATGGTGTTGATCAATGCAGGATGTCGCTGGCAGGATGCACGAGGCTGGACATGGACAAACGAACATCAAGAGCTGAAGTGCCAAGAGGCAAGGTGCATAGTATGCCAAGACATGTCTGTATCTCCTAGTAATTACAGGGTATCACATAGGATACAACTATTTCTTTACCTGCCAGGACCTCGGTGATTAAGAATAAAGTTATTTGATGTAGTTTGTAATAGGGTATGAGTTCTTTTGGCATTTTTGAATAACCTGGCGGGTTTAGAATCAACTCTCATGAGATCCATGATAAAAATGAGCGCTTCAAGTCTTGATAGCACAAATCTATAGGTGCTCTTATGATAGACATCAATTACTTCTCATCTGCAAAGAACTACAAATTATTTAAGAAGTAAAAAAAGAAAAAAAGCTCAATCACATTTCTGCTAACATTCTTATTACAATCTGTCGTTTCCCCTCATAAACATACTTCCCGCCAAGAACCTTTGCTACACTGTCGTAGCTTAGCCCTCTTCACCAAGTCTCTTCAATTCGCCGTCTGCAAATCTTTCTGCACTTATCAAATCGGTGCTACCATAGACAACCTTACGCCTGACAACAGCAGAGTTACCAGCAGCACTAGCATTGTTCCTCCTGCTCCATTCTTGCAAGTTGCCATACTCCTCCATATTACCGCCTCCAACCGTAAATACAACAGCCTCCGTGAACCCTTGACGACGTTGCCCAAAGGTGGGTCCTCCTGAAATTGGCTTACCATCTGGCCCAAGTCTGGCGGCCCCAGCCGGGGCACCGGTAGTACCGCGTGCAGTAGATGAGCGAGGATCAAAATAAAGGTAATTTTCGGTTTTTGCAAGCGCAGAGGTAGATGACGAGGTGGGATCCATGAGAGACTCGACGATCTTTGTAATTGTGAGATCCTTGTTGACCGGAAGGAAATTCTTTACTCCTGAGATCAAGTTTTCAAATCCACCTCCAAGTGCCCCGTCTTTGAGCCGATCGGTCAACTGTAGTAAAAATTAGTACACTTAAACGTGTGGTCAAAGAGATTCATATCAAATAACATACCCTGTTGCTGATGGAACTAAAACCTTTGAAGATATCAGTGCCACCAGTGGTCTGTACAGGCTGTTGGGATGGTGCCGAAGTCATCATTGTCATCTTCGTAAGTTCACGCACCCTAAAAAGTATTGTGAGAAAATAGACCGTGTAAATAAATATCAAGTAACCATATATACTTACTTCTTGACATATGCCAATGGTGCTAGATCACAGCCCGCATTCTTCAAAGCCTCCTCGTACTCATTCATGTCAACTTTGCTAACAACGCTCTCAGTGCTTAAATACCAAATGATGAACATCCGCATTTTATCTACGGGGTTCTTCCTCTCTGGATCATTGATAACCTCCAAAAGTTGAGCTTTAGTTTGCCTAGTAATATTTTCTTCGATCTGGAAGAAATTATCGAGCTGACGTTCTTTGATCCCCTTGAGAAGTGCATGTGCAATGTTCATGTGCATATCAAGGATTGCCTTTCTGTCGCGCAATTCCGGCAACTGAGTGATAGCCGCTTTGAGATGTTGTGCCGAGGAGCCAACGTCGCTACCAAAAAATATAAGCCAAATCACTCGAAAAAATCATGCAAAAAAACCTACCTTTGTAGATCCTCCAGTGAACTTGTGCCAGTCTTCCTTGTAATTTCGGCAACATCTTCTTTATACCTCGTCAACTCAGCATCAATATCCTCCGCAACCTGCGGGAACGGTACACCAGCATTTCTAGCCCAAAAGAAATCATTGGAGTTAAGGTCATAACTCTTCTTCCCCACTTTGCCATTATCATCGATCGTCTCCACTGTAATTCGGTTCAATCGCATGTTTAGCACATCGTGAACTAAGGACTGGTAGGTCCATGAATGTGATAGCATTGGGATAAGATCGATGTTACGGTCGAGAATGATTAAGACTGGGCGGGCGGCTGGCGTAGTAGTGGAGCCCACGCGAGCCGAAAATAGGTTATTATCGCGAGAGTTAAGAACATGGTCACGCAGCTTCCGGTCGAGCTTCTGGGCTATGACTTCAGCAGCATGCCCTGTAGGAGCTCGGATTATAGGAATAGATCCCATTGTAACAGCCACCGAAAATAAGCCCCCAACAACTTTGTCAATTGTTTCCTCAATAACAGTCTTTGCTACCTGCGCAGAGATCACGGTGTGATACACGTCTTTTAGGTTCAAACTGAATAAATCCGGCTCGGAGACCACGAAGTTCAAGTACTGATCATAAACTTGTGCGATTTTCTCAGAATTATTATTCTGGGCCGTTGTCGCTGCAAAGTCTTCAAGCAGAGCACGGGGAACTGAGGAAAGAAAGTTGACATATGCGGTATCATACAAGTTCTTGGAAAGATCCGCAGAAATTGCAGCGATGTTCTCGGCGGTTGGCTCGACCAAGTAGACAACTGGAACATCCGGGATGGGATGGCGAGGAGTGTGCAGATTGAGATGTATGGTCACCCCAAAGTTCCGAAGATCCTGAACTCTGAGGACAGATGAAATGACATCACGGCCGAGGTTGTCGAAGACGAGCACCTTCCATATAGGCTCTCCTTCTTCATTCAGGATCGGGGTGGATGATGGAATAAGGCCATTTGCTTCAGGCTCATGCTTCGATTGATCATGATTTAGGTTTAGGATCTTCTCGATGGAGGCTATAGGTAGAGGTGCAAGATTGATCAGCAAGACTTCGGGAAAGCATAGAGCTAAGCTAGTACTACTGCTGGCCGGAGAGTACACACCTACCGACTTGACGATCTCGCAAAGTTTGGCGCGCAGTAGCCATATTTAATGGTTCAAATCCCAATTTCCAGTGTGGGATAGTAAGGTTGTGTCAGAATTGTAGTTGAATGAGTTGAACAGAGCAGTGGAGACGGAGGACAATCGAAAGAGCCACCTTCCATGCACTTAGGCGAAAGGTAAGATTATCAAGATAAGATCTTAGCCCCTCGACTTCCGGGTAACACCTCCAGTGGTGTGTGCCCGCAATTGCCAATAACCTCACCTCCGAGCTGCTGTATTCGCGTTCCCTGGCCAGCCATTGCATCTATCCATCTCCAAATACCCCGCAGGAGCTGCCTACACACACAAGAATCATCATGAATTCAAGACACACCGGTAATCTAAGCGTAGGTCAGTTGATACACCTTCTCTTATGACGGAACTGATGCTGACTAGATAATTAGATGGCGTCCATGTTGACATGGAGCATCTCAAGAAGGGTGAGGTAAAGTAAGTTTATCCATCTTCTCATAGATTATTGGAGCAGAGCAACTGACTTTACTTTCTAGTTTGGGAACTTCCATGTAAGCATCAGGTTGAGATTCAACAAGTACACCTTCTCTTCTAGCTCGAGCTTCATGCTGATCGAATCATGCAGTATGGCAGCAATCTTTGATGGCGGTGTTGTCCTTGGTATGTTCTCCTGGATACATAATCGATGGTGTAAGGAATGAGCTGATAGAAATGGTTAATTTCAGGCGCCGATTCTCGAACAACCACCGGATCCTACATCGCGAACAGAGTGACAGACAAGCTTACCCAAGTACACGATACAATCTGGTGTTGCCGGTTAGTTTTTATCAGACCTACAACTAAATAATCGCTTGGGGAACAGCTACTGATTGTTGGTGTAGCTCTGGTTCCGCCGCTGACACTCAAGCCATCGCTGATATCGTCCACTATCACCTACAGATGTACAAGTAAGCTTCTCTAGACTCATTTCGGTAATTTATTGCTTTTGGAGGACGTGTGCAAATCTAACATTTACTCCCCAGCGTAACAAATGCTGAGCCACCGGCTACCCGAATCGCAGCTGCTCTTTTTCAAGAGCTTTGCTACGACAACAAAGATAACCTGAGCGCCGGTATCATTATTGCAGGCTACGACAAGCGTCATGGGGGGGAGGTTTACTCCATTCCTCTGGGTGGTTCGCTTCACAAGCAGCGCTATGCCATTGGTGGTTCCGGTTCAACATACATCTACGGTTACTGCGATGCCAACTGGAAAGAGAATTTCACTGAGGGCGAGTGTGTGGAATTCGTCAAGGGAGCGTTAGCAGAGGCCATCAAATGGGATGGAAGCTCTGGAGGCGTCATCCGAATGGTTGTACTCACTGATAGAGGTGCTGAGAGAAAGATTTTCTTCCCGGATGAAAACTATGCGGGTGATGGTAAATAGAGTGCAGGAATCGAAATTCTGAGGGGGGGCGCCTCCCTCTTTCCATTGTGAAGACGTACTTTATCATAATAACCTTGAAAAGGCCACTATGTTTTATTTCAGCCATGTTCTACTCTGTGATCCCCGGGGACTCTAGATTCCTGTTCAATTTCCCGCCGAAGCAAGATTGTGAAGGCGTGCACGAGTAGCTTCATAACAGCCACAAGATGTTGCTCGAAAACTGATTTTTATGCGGTAGCACTTTCGGAAACCAGAAATTCGTCATATTACCTAAGCTGGGCCAATGACCTCTTTTCCTGATTTTTTGACACATCTACGAAAATTGTGCTAACCGCAAATTACTATTGACAAATTACAATCCTGAGTTAAAGAAGTTGTCTTATGGATGCTGACATTTTTACAAGAATTTTACTGTAATAGGCAAAGGTTTTAAGTAAAACAGCGAATTTGAGATAAATAAATACCGAAATCATCGACAAATTATTATCACATATCAACTATTATAGTCTTAATACCTCACTTACCGAGAATTTTTAGAGCCAAGACATTGTGCTTTCCCTATCTGTAATTATATTAGGTAGGGTTTTTCGAGTTGTAAATTGTGTGTATAATGGTAGAAAAAAAATAAAGGTAGCTAGAAATGACCAAGCGATCGTGCGATGATACGTAAATGTAAAGTACAATGCAATAAAGGGGGTTGGAGTTGGCGGCTGATTCAAACCGGTCTAGCCATCGGTTATCTGAAAGGAACATTTAAATCATTACCTCTGCCAAGTACAAGTGAATTTTCTATCATTACCACTTCACAAAACAAGAGCAGCACAAATTCCAGCCAAATTCCGTAGTTATCCCGTTCAATCAGTCATTACAATTTGTTATCCTAATACTTGCAACCCAACTCCTAAGAAATATTCCCCAGAAAAAGCCCCTCTAAGCCCGCAATCAGGGCTCGTCCTGATCATCTTCAGGACTTTCCCTTTTGGAAGCAGGCTTCCTATCGGGCTGTTTCCTCTCCCATTCCTTGATCCATTGCTGAGCCTTTGTTTCAGCGTCCTCATCACTGAGTCCCTGCCTTTTCGCTTTGGCCCTGAACTTGCTCAGCTTGACCATCTTCCTGACCTTGTCCTTGTTGTTGACGCGGTACTTTGTGGCAGCTTCGCGGTGACGCTCTTTAAAGGGTTTCTTTGGGACGTCTAGCATTTTTAAATGGTTGTAACCGTTAGCGGGTAAGTCACAAGACATTACATCGATAGAAAAGAAAATTTTACTAGAACTCGATTGCAATGAGAGGATCAACGTCTCACCATATCGCGATTTCCATTCTTGATAGTGCGCACTGAGGTACTCGAAGCTTTCCTTTCCACTTTCGGGTGGATCCTTCTCCTTCTTCCTCTTTTTCTTCCTCTTGTTATCGAGCTCTTCACGGTTGACGCCGGACGAGATAGAGATCAGGTCGAGCGAGGAGTTGTACGCGAACTCCTGAAAGCGTTCTTTGTAGAGAGCGAGATGGCCCCTGATGCCCCTTTCACCGGTAAACCGCTTGGTGCATTCGGAGATGGGACATTCGAGTTCTTTCGGCTTGATCTTTGTGTCGGGGGAGGTCGGTGGCGAATCTTCTTCTGCTGGCATGGTTTCTGCGGTTATTCGGCGTGGCCGCATATGTACAGTGGAAACAGTCGGGACGTTAGATGTTGTGCTCTTGATCATTTCTGAGCTCCGTCGCGTGCTGCCTGGGCGGCGACGTTATTGATGCGTGCCGATCCCAGAAGGGAAGTTAGTGTAGCACGTGAGCTACCCTAGAAACTGGAAGCACTTAGTAAGCCCTTTTTTCCTGGGGGTATGTTTCGTTGCTTTTTTCCACTCTCTTTCGAGTTGAGCAGCAGCAATGGGGATGATGGATTGGATGGAATTTCGGATGGGGGGTGGGGGGGATTGGGGGGGATAAACTGCCCAGCTTACCTAGTGTCCAACGACAGAACCTGAAGAATACAGGTCAAGACCACACCACCTCTGGAGATAGAGAGAGCGAGGTGTGTTAAAGATGATGATATGGCAAGGTATGTAGTGGGTAGGTAGGTAGGTAGTGGATAGAGCGGGTGGGTTATGTAGGTAGGGTGCATGTAAGTAAGTACCCCTCTGGTTTTAATATGCTGCTGCTGCTGTAGCTCAAGCTAGAGAGTCACCCAGAGTACGGGGGGGCAAGGGTAAGGGGCGTCCCACAGCTATTGTACCCGTTTCACCCAACACTGCTCAGAGCTCAGTTTACTGCTCGGTCAGTGCAGGACCGATAACTTACTTTCTTGGCGCTAAATGGCACTACTTTCAGCTATCATTGGCTCTCTACAGCGCGGTTTGGGCAGCTTTGCTACGGAGGTCTTCATCACAACCACCCACAGCTTAGGTATTTCACCATAGAAATTACTCGTAACTCGTACAGTGCGACCTTTTACAAGTTCAGTACGATGTCCAGAAGGCCCGTCGAATCAGAGCTTTCCAATATCTTGGCTCTTCACGGACGTACATGGTTAGCTTCGATCATGGATCGGTGTTGTGACTGTAGTCCCAACTAGAAAATAGAATGCAGATACTAAGGAAATTTTCGCCGAGCTTCATGTTCCCTCCCCTCATGCGATTATCACATCTCTGTCGCCATGGGTCAGTAGTGTCTTGTCCCTGAATATCGCTTCCTTAGCTCCCCCTGCTTTTTTAAGGTTTCTGCCTTACGGTGCAATTCGTCTGTCCTGAGCACCCTGAATTTGATGCGGGAGCACCCGCTCTAGAGTAGTACGTATGGCGCACCTTACGTACGAGTACTATCCTTTCGCGTTGAAACCCCAGGGTTATAATTCTATTGCGCCGGCCCTACTAACAATTACACATCACGTAGCTGCTTTTGTGGCTCGTTATGTCAACACTCATTAGACACCAAATATGTACTTACCTTCGTGTACCTCCTAAGTATTTTACTCTGGACCACACGATTCTACGCTGCCATCCTGCTGGTTATGAAATGTGCACGAGCTTAAGAGTGCTATTATAGCTTCCATGCTCGTGATAAAGAGCTTTGGCAATTCTGCCGATAACAGCACCAAAAGGGATTAGGGCCCAAAACACCCTACTGGCTAGCAGCCGATCAAGCAACAGGGCTAGGGTTCGGGCTAACTTTTGACATGCATGCGCACCATAACCCCGAAGAAGAAATATTACAACAGCTCTACTCTACGCGACCTCAAAACTGTTGACGGAAAGGCAACTGCAGGATCCCGCCTTAAATTGCTTACCCGGCCTCTGTGGAACCCTCAGCGCGAGCACGCTATCTCCCTCCCCTCACACCTATTTCCCTTCCCTGACAGCTATCACCCTCTCCCCACAGCTATCCCTTCCCCTCACAGCTATCACTTTCTCTCACAACTATCAACAGCTTAATAAAGACTTACTACTTGAGCTATCGCACAGAGTTGCTGCCACCTATCAACCTCGGCCAACAACACTACTACTAAACGTCTCAGTGAACAATGGCAAACAGCAATGACAAAGACAAATTCAAGTACCGTGTGGAGATCCAACAGGTACACTCATCCCTGAGTTTCTCCACACGCGCAACGCGCAACGCGCTAATAGACCATCCAGATGATGTTCGTCTCCGGCGAAACGGGCGAACCAAATGCTGAAACAACCGGCATAATTGAAGAAATAGTCCGCGGGCAAGTCATCGAGATGGTATAGCTTCCCCATAGCTTCAAAAAAAATACCTTTTTAACATAACCGTCCTCCATCAGCTCCTCCAATGTACAAGCCAAGCCGCCCGCCGCGGCTCCCGGTCAATCTCTACGGACGATCTTATATTCCTAATCCGCCATGATAAAGCCAAGGTGTCCCGGCTGCGCACCTATCTTTCGTGGAAAGACGTCCGTAAAACCGCCAAAGAGCAAGACCCTAACGGCGGTGCCGGCGCACCCGATCCTGCAGATCTGTTAGAAGATGCTGCAGCTGGAATTGCAGGGAGTGGGGGGCCGATGCAGATGAAGCAGCGGAAAGCGAAGATTGGGCTCCCATGGGAAGTTGCTAGTTATTTCTCGGAGCAGGTTCCGGAGCGCGAAGAGGACGAAGATGAGGACGAAGTCGAGGCAAACTATGCGACATTGCAGAGACTGAAGAATGCTGATGAGAGAACGAGAGGGATGACCAAGGACGAGTACGTCCACTGGTCGGAGTGTAGACAAGCATCCTTCACCTTCAGGAAGGGAAAGCGTTTTAGGGAATGGGCCGGTTTTGGGACGGTGACAGAGGCGAAGCCCAACGATGATATCGTTGATATTTTAGGATTTTTAACTTTCGAGATTGTACAGACATTGACTGAGGAAGCGCTAAGAGTTAAGGAGGCTGAAGATCAGGTTCTTATGCAGAGTCGCGAAAAGAGCCGTAAGAGAAAGCGGGAGAAGTTCCTCTTCCACGCAGAGGAAGGGAGGACTGCCGTTGAGGCTAGACACGTCGAAGAGGCTTTCAGGAGATTGCAAACTCCAAGGCCGAAAATGAAGGCTATGAGGAACTTTTCTGGCGGTGTTGTCAAGTCTAGATTGATGCTCGTTTAGAGTGTAGGCGTGTTCATGTTGTTTGGTAACTACCTGGGTCTTATTTTTTCCTCTTATGTTTTTCAATTGGTGTCATTTGGTTGATGGGTATTCTTTTTGGTGTTACTCCTGGAAGGTAGGCCTGTATTTATGGGGTCACTCATGTTTGTGTAGATATTCTATTGTGAAACAGTGTAGTTTTTGATTCATCATCAAGCTGGTCCTTCAGAAAAAATGATGTGGACGGCAATCCAAATTCCCAAATATCTCTGCCCAAAGACATTGTATCTGGGTTCATTATCTGGCATGGACAAAATACTCGCACTATTAGGCACCCGCCCTCTACTGGTAGTCAGTGACATGTAGGGAAAGCAGATTCGAGCAAAGTCAGGTACACCTGAGATCAGAACTTCCCACTGCTATGAAATCAGATGTCCTCTCAGTTTTCTAAAGTTTACGTGCAGGTAAATATACTACTTAACTGAGAAAGTAGCTTATCTTGGAGTATTCTGGATTGTTTCTGAAAAGACTTAATCACACATTATCACTCGATGATTATCGCTGCAGATTATACGCTTAACATCACTACGTATATCGCCTCGATTCCTTACATGTAGCTATTTCAATTAACAAAAGTAACTTTCAATATATCTCTATTGAAACATATTTCTGGTAAGTTAGAAACTATAGAAGCAAGTTGCATATGTGGAAACCTCACAGCTTAATTAATACTTAGTATACTTGACTTGTAACTCCATATGTATGTTGTAGGGCACCTATGTCTTGTATTTTAGGAAATATGCAGCAACGAAGAATCGGCGAGAAGGATCCTCGGACCTTGATAAATAGGATACTTGATTTTGAAACACAACTGATAGTGAATCCTCTGCACGGCACTCACGTCTGGCTGGCGGTAGAACACATGCATCACATGCAAGATTCTAAACGGCTGTACTTCTATATTACTAAACGGTAAATTGCATTTATATGTCATATGCTGCAGCTGGTGTACCGGTGCCATCTTGCATCTTGGAAACATTCGATTTGAGGATAGTGATATTAGCGTTGTGAACTCTACTAAATAGCTTGGCTGATCAGCAGAGTCTATTTTATGTATCATAAAGTGCCAATTTGGCAGATATGTAAATTCCGAATTTGTCCATAGTCTTCTTGCTTTTCTTTTACTGGCCAGCGCGGTTAGACTGTGGCTTTCAAGGACTGATTTATTTGGCTTAAGCCACACCCGTGACCGCGTGTGGCAGCTAAATCACCAACAGCCAGCTCGCATCCCAGCCTCCCCCCGACATCATACAACCTCCACCTCCACACACAAAGCGTCAGTCCCCAATCGGTATGTTGCTCGCACTCCCCCACTATCGAGTCAAGAGTTATATCTCTGCCTCTTACCTCTATTCCCTCTTGTCTACTTCAATCCGCTCCACCACCGTTTGCACCTCCGACAGCAGACCGCCTGATTCTCGCTTATCCTCCCCGTGAACCAACCAGACGTGCTTATTTCCTCAGTGCCCCAGATTCTAGGATCACGCAGGAACTAAAACCTTACTCATGCCGTCATCATATTCATTCAATCCGGAGGAAACAAGATTGCCTGAATCCGACGGCGAATGGTCTGAGCCCGAATCCGCAGACGAAGATGGCCTGTTCAAAGATCTCAACAATTGCGAGGCCCCCAGTTTATATGGACTGTCGCCAGCCTTAAATTCCCTAGGGAAGAGTAATTCCGTCTCCCATGCGCAAGCGACCGCCGAACGACTCGGCTCTCTAGACCTTAAGGCCCACGAATATACCATTGCCGGGATCAACAATAGTGATAAGAAGGTTCACCACGAATTCAAGTTACTATATCTTGAGGAGAATCGTTTCAATGCTCAAGAGGCTGCTGTACTTGAGGATAAGTTTCAGAAAAAAGTCAGATGCATATTCGCGGTTAGGCAAGCCGAGGAGGCTATGCGAGCGAAGTTGGAGCGCGAAGAGCGGGAGAAGCGCGCCGAGATCGCTCGGAGAGCCGCGGAAGAAAGGGCTCGATACGAAGAGGTGCAACGGCGTCAACGAGAACAGCAAGAAGAATTAGAACGCAGGCGAAAGCAGGAAGAAATGGAACGGATTGAGTTCGAACGCCAGCAACGAGAGCGGGAAGCAGCACATTTGAAGCAACAGGCGGAAAAAGATGCTAGGGATCAGGCTGCACATGAAAAGCAGCAACAGCAACAGCAACAGCAGCGACAACAGCAGCAGCAACAACAACAACAACAGCAACAGCAACAGCAGCAAGCGCAGCCGCAACAACAACAATACACTGGTCCTTCGGTTTATGGACGGAAAAATATTAGCGTTGAATCGACTGCTGTCAGCAGGGTCCTAGCTGCTTTGAAAAAGGTTCGACAAGATGTCGACAACGAACCGCAGTTTATGAAGAGTAAGAATCTTATGGCCATACGTCGTGATTTGCGTCCAAAGCTGGGACAGCTCAATGGAGAGAAGACGCAGACAGTCGCAGTTGTCAGTTTCCTAAACTACTACGCTCATTTCAATCATACTGACAGACTCAATAGCGTGAATTTTACAAAAAAACCTTCATGGATCTTCTTAACGATACAAACGGACCCAAAGTCCTCGCGAGTGGCTTCTTTCTCGCCCCTAATGAACAAAGCAATGTTCCTATTCCTATCGCCTTTGTTTGGGCTGTCAATGAACTCGCAAAACTACTGGTGAAGCAAGTTGAAGCCGAGTGCTCTATTAAACCCGAAACAGCCGATCCCCTTGGTATCACTATCATCGCTACATTTGCTGGCGACGGATTAACTGTGAACGGCAATTCGTTTATCGACATTATCCTTGCACGACTTCTTAAAAGCAATCCAATCTTGAGGGGTGAGCTTGGGCCGGAAGACACGGAGAAGGACAGAAAACGATTGGGTTGGAAAGTTGACGAAGAAGGTACATGGGAGGCTGAGGAGGCGCATATCAATTCTCTTGTAGGATTGACAGCAGGTTATGCCGCTATCGCTGGAAGGTAACGAAATAAAACAAAAACACAAAACAATTTCTATTACAGCAGCTGACATGTTACCACAGGGATTTCGGCGGTTCAAAAATGATCAACCCCTATCCGATCTTTAACCTCTGGCATGCAGTCGCCTTCTTGCTAAACCAACCTATGAACCTGCTTACCAACTCGCATTTCTTTGTCATGAAAACACTATTGCAGGTCGGTGCTAAAAAGCTTGTCGGTGTTTATGGGCACCAGGCCAAGAAACTCGTCGAGCTGTGTATCACCGAGTGGGCGATCAAAGGTGTAGAACTTGGCCTCGGTGGTGCACAGGCTGTGAAAGCATACGGCAAATACTTAAGAGAGGAAGACTGGTGGAAGAATTCTTAATTCTTGATTTTACATTCGTTATTGGGCGCGGCAATTGTTACCGCAATCGCGAACGGTGTTTAGAATATGTAAAATATCTCGGAGGCGCGAATGGTTCATTGTCTTTCTTTTTTTTTTTTGGGTTCGACACTGTTTCTTTCTTCTTTTCTTTCTCGTCTACATTTCCTTTAAATAGTGTATCTTTCTGTAGATACTCACTGGCAGAGGCTGCAGGGATTTTCGAGAGATGCATGTCTACTCACTCGGTTTACGTGGAGTAACTGCTTAAAATCCCTGTGCCATAACGATTGAATGATTATACAATTCTCCTTCAAAGAACACACCTAATATGCGAATAGTTGCAATAGATCCCAGAATTCCTTTGGGCACTGGCCACCGCCTAGAGTAAACTTGTATAAGTAAGAACCTACGTATATCTGCAATGTTATAGCGAAGGCTTGGTATACCACGGTTCGAGAAAGACCCAGGCCTGTGAGAGCAATTTTGTAAGACACCGTATGAGTTTAACAACACTTGGCGCCTAGATTGGACTAGGTTATTTACATGTAGATTCGTACATCCACTTGGTCTTTTGACGCGCTGTGCCGAAGAAGCACTGCACGTAAGGACGCACGAGATTTGGTCATCAAGCCCAAACATGTATACGTACTTACCCTGGTCACGCTGGCCAAACCGAGACTCTAGTGTACAATGTCATCAGCCTTCGTAGTACGGGTGTAGAATCAAATGCGTTGGGTATCAATTGAAATCAACAGCAAAATAGAATCCACTGATTACCACAGCGACTGAATGATTTTTTTGTAAAACATTGGCTCGAGTGATGTATTGTGAAGAAAACACGCCATGGTTTGATTAGTCATGACCAGCTCATGACCGATCACTCTGCAGAACGAACCAAATTCGGATCGAGAATTGTACTTGCATCCGATGCGTCCTTCTGAACGGTTCGGCTTATAAAGGGTATACAGATTCCCCCTATTGATGAACTCTGGATCCACCTACTTACCACTCATTGTAATTCGGCACAGTGAAAGAGACTTCGAGCTCCTGCAGCTATTTTGTGGCTTTATCTCAACAAATACCTTCAACACCCCTGTCAACACCAGCTACAATGCCACAAACCATCCTTCCTGCAATAATTCCCGCATCAATTGTTTTGAGTTCAGTACCGCAATTAAACGATGACACTTATTCTGGTGCAATCAAAGAAGCGCTCTCGATTGCAGGATTATGCTTATTTTCACTTCGAAATGACTTACCAGTATCAAGCGCGTCTCTATCATGGGTAATTGTAGCATCATTATCATCCACAACTCTGGCTGTCTTTGCAGGTCTCTCTTATACTAGCCCCCCGAAAGATGTCCAACAACCCGGTCCGGGTGAAACGCGCTTGTATTCAGAACCAGTACTTTTCCGCTGTAGAACGCATCACACACGTTTATTCCCGCAGCGACATTCACTTGCCTATTCGGTTCTACAATGTGGAATGCCACTGAAGTTCAAAGGCTCGGTAGGGCGTTTGTTCTCGTTCAGTAACGGGCATAATAAGGATAAGAAATGGTCCCTGTTCGGCGTGGATTCGAGGGATTATCTGAGGCGTGGAAATGAGACGATGGAGGAGAAAATGAAAGTATTTCTGGCTGAAAATGTATGTATGGGGTGTTTTTATATGGTTTGTGTTCTAAAGCCGAACCACGCTAATGTGCGAGTGATAGGACATGAATCTTAATGACTACCCTACAGTTTATCTTATTACAGCTCCACGATTTCTGGGATATCAGTTTAATCCTGTGAGCTTCTGGTATGTTATTTCATTGTACCAAAAAGGAGTTTTGATGATAATTTGAAGAAGGTATCTGAAAAACAAAGATGGAGTGTTGTCCCTGGTGATTCTCGAAGTAAACAATACTTTTGATGAGCGGTACATGTATCTTTGTCGCCCATCTAATTCTTCTTTGACGGATTCCAATGTCCCGTTTGGACAAACCTTCAGTCAAAACTTCTCCAAAGAGTTTCATGTATCGCCCTTCAACGACCGAACGGGGAAATATAATGTCTTGACTCGCGACCCTCTCTCTGAAAAAGAGGATTCCAATGGAATTGTAAACACTACAATAACTCTCTACGATGATTTCGATAATAAGAAGCTCATCGCAGGTTTACGCTCTGTGGCACCTCCAATATTTCTTTCAGAGCTTTCGACATCGGTCATAAGTTCTACAGTTTTCGTGATAAAATATGGATGGAGCGGCTTGATCACGTTTCCCAGGATTGTATGGGAGGCGGCAAAGTTGTTTGGTGTGAAGAGACTAAAGGTCTACCTTAGACCAGAGGTGAAGAGAAAGACAATCAGCCGGAATGCAACCGCGCTGGAAATGTGAGACCCTTCAATCCCAAAATTGGTGGTTTATTGTGCTGACACGCAGTGATGTAGTGAACTAGAGAAATATTTCAGACTGTACCTTCGTATTAGAGTTGAGAAACATCCTGTCCCGACCATAATACATTACAATTCCGCCGGAATTGGGAATCTGCCTCATAAAGAGACATTTAAATCCGCTGAGGCAGCAGCCATGGTACCCGAGATTACCTTCACTGTCCTTAGTCCCAGGTTCTACACAGTCTGGGCGGCAAACTGGTCTATACAAGAAGTTTTATCTGCTGAAGAATTAAAGCCAGAACATAAGAAGATTGTTGAGATATCTGATGTTGTTCGAGTTACAAAGCTTTTGGATCATACGCCTCTGGCGCCATGGAATAGGAAATACCACGGACGGGCACTTACGTGGCCGCTCATTAAAATAATGAGAGGGCAAAAGCCTTCTGCTTTGGATCGGCTTTTGACAAAGGATCTCCAGATCCTCAATGCACCCAAGGTTGACCCTATAGGATATAGTAGATGTGTTTTGCAAGCAGTGCTGACAATGAGAATTTTCTATGGGGATGAGATGTGGTTGGGGGCTTATGATCTGGCTATTAGAGGGATTCTAGTGTACTTTGCGTGGAGTGGATTCATGGAGGCTGGAGGTTTTGCTTTGAAGCCTTGGGGAGCTATTGGGGGGTTGATGGTGTGGAGGATTGTGAAGGATTTTATGTAATTACATAGTAGCCATTAATAACATTGGAATACAATTAGAGATGGATCGTTATACCTATTATCTATTCGTAATAGACTTCGCTATTGGTTTCCGGGATAGAACATAAAATTCTTAGATGTTTTTCCTTGAATAAGAGTTCTAAAATAGCGGATGCTCAATCAAACACCTCAAATGATTTATATTAGTATACGTATAATCAGTAATATATATTATAGTTCGACTTAAGATCCTGTTGCTATCTACATACAAAATCAATGATCAACTAGAGCAGCTCGAACACTTTTGGACTTATGGGCGGGAGAAAGTCATTATTACTACGCCTTCAAGCAGGCCGAGAGAGTCTCATAACCATGCTTAAACCGTGAGTTACCTTTCCGAACGTACATAAGTATCCAAGAGACTTACTCTGAGGCATGTATTGACTAATCGCAAAAGTTGACGCTTTGGAAGATAGCAATATGAGTCTGGACTTGTGTGTAACTGGCTGCTTTTGGCTTAGAGCAATTTTGTTAGTGGATTTCCGCCGAGTGATTAGCTGTGCGGCTGACTCAGATGCTTGGCCTTTTCAGCCTCCGTTAGCTGCAACGATCGCCACATCTTCTATTCAACAACCACACGCGTTGCCTCACACTTCACGAAATTTTCCACACCCATAGCATCACCATCAGAGTAGCAAGACCATGGCTAACTATCTCGCTTCAATCTTCGGTACCGAGCAGGACAAGGTTAACTGTACGTTACATCTTTATCCCTTCCTCTGCCCCCCTTCGCTCGTATAACTAACTTTACACAAGGCTCCTTTTACTACAAAATCGGCGCCTGCCGTCATGGCGACCGCTGTTCCCGAAAACACGTCAAGCCCTCATATTCGCAAACAATTCTCCTCCCAAACCTCTACCAGAATCCGGCATTCGATCCCAAAAACAAGATGAACCCCAGTCAGCTGCAGAACCACTTCGACGCCTTTTACGAGGACTTCTTCTGCGAAATGTGCAAGTACGGCGAGGTAGAGGAGGTCGTCGTGTGCGATAACAATAACGATCGTATGTATTTATGCTTTCTCCTTTTAGCGTACGCCGAGAGGTTGCTAGGGCCTGATTTACAGGCACATGAAGCTAACTGGGTGCGTAACGCACTATAGACCTGATCGGTAATGTTTATGCTCGCTTCAAATATGAGGAAGACGCGCAGTCGGCTTGCGACGCGCTAAATGCGAGATGGTACGCGGCGCGTCCTATCTATTGTGAACTATCGCCTGTTACGGATTTCAGGGAGGCCTGTTGTCGGTTAAACAGCGGAGAAGGCTGTGTAAGAGGAGGATTCTGTAATTTCATCCACAGGAAAGAACCAAGCAAGGACTTGGAGAGAGAATTGGAGCTAGGGATGAAGAAATGGCTGAGGGCCAGAGGAAGGGACAAGAGGAGTGTCAGCAGGAGCGTTTCGCCGGCTGAGGGAAGGCGCAGACGGGAGTAAAAGACCGGTGGGTGTTTTCTCCGACGATGGGTTTTGAAACGGTTTCTTCTTTTCTGTTCATTTTACGTACCAAAATTACTGCTAAACTGCTGTACAATTAGTTTTGTTAAAGGATTTACAATAGCTAATATCTACGATGATACCATGATGCAGTTTCAGGCAATCGATCGTATCTGGCACAAGAAATGGTTACGACGTGATAGTATGGTGGGTACTCGTCTGAATGTTGACAGACTGTACTGAATTAGAGAAAGAGCAGAGGTGGCAACGATATTCGTATCAATAATACTGTTTATCCTTAAACTTGGTGTAAAACTCCTCGGGTTTTGCATGGAACTGGGATGGGTTTCTGTTAGGAAATGAAATCCAAGTTTTCTGGACAAACTATCCTGTGGTAAGCTCTATATCGAGAAAATTTCTTGAGTTTCATTCTTGCCTTTGATCCAATAACTCGTGTTCTTGGAGCTAGTATGGCTGAAGAAAAACAGTACCAAGAACTAGTGTTCAGCCCTAAAGGTTTTAATACTCGAGATTGTAGATTTCATATACTATACCGAGTACCGATAGTACTTCCACCCTATTGACATTATATTCATAGTACAAAGAGATACGGCATTAACTTAGCTTGAGAACGAAAGATAATACCCAGTTTTTTTGGGTTCACGAGATTTGGGCCGAGTGATACCCTGTGCTCGAAAGAATGCCGAAGCGTGAAATATTATCATGATACCTTCCGCTTATGCTAACAAATTAAGGTCTATAAAGGCACTCCTAAATCTACTAAAACTAACATCCCTAGGGGTAACAGCAGAGATGGAACATAAAAATGATCCAATATCTTCAGCCAGTCCCGAGCTACAGCTACAAGTAAACTGAATGGCAGTCCTAAAAACATTATTTTCGAATACAGACGCCTCCTTTCAAACCCCAAAGTAACTGTCGCCATATCGGTAAGATGGGGGCGTAGAAACACCCTTGTTTTCAAAAATCACATGGCACGTTGGACGGGATCATTGAACGGGAATCCGCATCATTAATTAGAATTGGAGAAGAAACAAAGAACCCTTTTAACATTTTTTTAATATCCCTAACCCGGAAAAAACAACCGCTTAATACCTCTCCTTCCTCCTCAAGTCGTCGGAGAACTCCTCCAGAGGACTTCTCAACAACTTGGTCTCCTTCCACAAGTTAGGAGTGAGGAAAGCGTATGTGTTACCGACGGCAGCGAAGGTAGCCTTAAGGGTGTTCTCAAGGGTCTTGGTGGAACCAGAGGAGGCGGTGTAAACATCCTGGACACCAGCAAGCTGGAGGAGACGCTTGACGGCGGGAGAAGCGACCAAACCAGTACCACGGGGAGCAGGGATCAACTATTTAGTGTTTTAGCGTCACAGATCACGTCGGACGTTTTAAGATCTTATAGCTTACCCTGACAGTGACGGAACCACACTTTCCAGACTCCTTAGCAGCAAGGGAGTGGGGCTCTCCGAGAGATGAACCCCAGTATCCACGACGGATGGGGAGGACGGAGAGCTTGGCAATGATGATAGCGGCACGGATGGCAGTTGCGACTTCCTTGGAGGTCTTGATTCCGAGACCGACGTGGCCCTCGGAGTCACCGATGACAACAATGGCCTTGAAACGGGTACGCTGACCGGCACGGGTCTGCTTCTGGACGGGTTTGATCTGGAAAATGGTATAATGTTAGTGGTTGGTCCTTTCCCATGTCCCAAAAAAGAAAACCAGTTTTCATTTCCCAGCGCTCCTCTGTTTAGAGCTCCCCGCGCCCAATCCTCCAAAACCAATTGAATCCAAACATCGGAAAGGAATTCAAGCATACCTTCATGACCTCATCCTTCAACTTGGGCAAGAAGAAGTCGACAATCTGGTACTCCTTGATGGGGAGAGAGTGGAGGTAGATCTCCTCCATGCTCTTTATTTTTCCGAGCTTGACCAAACGTCCAAGCTTGGTGACCGGCTGCCATTCCTTCTCTTCATTCTTAGCACCTCTGCGGGGTCCACGGCGTCCACCACGGCCACGGCCACGGTCACCACCGCGGTCACCACCGCGAGCTCCGAATCCACCACCACGTCCTCCTTGGGCAGCAGCGTCAGCCATATTTCCTGGTTGTTAGGTTTTTGGTGTTAGGGCTTGTTGAGGGAAGTTTGGATCGAGCGGGCTGTCCGTTGGCGATTCGTCGTGATACTTTACTTGGTGTTGAGGGGGATTATTTTTGCTGGGTGTAGAGTGTCGTGAATTTGTGTGGGCTTGGCATGTGGGGCTCCATATGTCATTAGGGCTAGGGCGCAAGTCACAATGGAGATAAGAGATTATCTGATAATTCGTACCAGATAAGATAACAACACCCCGATTAAGAAAATGTTAATATTTGTTTCTCACATATGTTTAATATTCTTTTTTTTTTTGTTTAATTCATTAATTGTATACATATGTTTAATAGCTCTAGATACCCTCCAAGTAAGTTCTTCTAAGACCTACAGCTGTATGTCTGTTACTTTGTCCCACTCAACGGCTCTCTGGAACTTCGTGCGCCTTAAAGAATTGCTACAGCATAGGTGTCTTCATGTTATATAGTTCATTACCATTAGAAGAGACGTCCATTGTTGTAGGAATACCATAGTGTAGACATTGTTTACGCCGAAGCCCCCAGATTTTTCTGGGTAAGGATTCGAGTGTATTTATAGGTGCCTGTTTTGTGTCATGGCACTATGTAGGATTAGGCGAGAGAGTTGGACACCTTGGTGGAGCCACAGCTTCCGTACTTCTTCCCCAACCACCGTTTAGTCTTCTACCTAAACTTTCAACCTTTGATAAACTAGAATTTACAGCCAAAGCAGCAAGCACCACATCACACAACCGCCGAAATATGAGAGGGCTAGAGGCTCATAAGTATCTACTCAACGACACCTGTAGGTCCAAACCACATGATCTATACGAAGTTTGGCCGGAAATCTAACTCAAATATCTTCTAGTACTCCGAAATTTCGCCTGGTACTTGCTCGCGGAAATCAATTATTGGTCCTCTTGAATCTCGAACATGAGAGGCAAGGATATATATTGACAGCAAATTGTATCTTTGTGATTCTCGGGTATACAAGACTAGAATACAAAGGTAACAAACCTCTGGCATTACGAACGATCTTCAGAAGAATCAAACTACATATAGTCATATAGTTTTGCGGGAACTTCCTACCATGGCTCAACGGACCGGTTGCTGGCCTGTATTGCACGTTGCTTTAAAGCAAAGCTTAGATTCTTACAAGTAACGCCTACTGCAGATTTCAATGATTTCATAAGTTCTCAGGATATCGTTCTTAATTTTGATACCCTCAACATACAAAAAAATTGCCAAACCCACAGAGCAAAATCCTCCCATCCCACCTTGAAGCACAAACCAACTGCCACTTAACTCCATACCGTAAGAACAGCAAAGCCCTCAAAGCATCCTGCCCGAGTTTGAGGGCCGCCTCTAGCTCGCCTTCGGAGGGTACTCGCTACCGGTCGGCTTCTCGCAGGTGCACCATTCCTCCTTCGGGATCGAGTCCATGACGCTGGGGATGTGGCTGCCGCAGCCCCACCAGCTCTTCTTGCCTGTAGAGTCTTATCAGTATCATGGACACACACCAAGAAGCTAGGTTAAGATCAAGTACTCACCACAGGCATTGCAGTTTGCGGGTTTACACATGATGATAGTGGTAATAATGCGGGGTTGATGTTTTGAAAAGAAATGCGGGATGAAACGCAGTATTTATGCTCTCTAGAAGGGATTACTAAGGCTACAAGAGTTCCCCGCGGATTGTTCGGCGTTCTGTGTTTCCATGCAGGGGTTCACGTGAAGTCGCCGTCTTATCGATAAGCTTGGTCTGGTCGCCGGATCACCAAGAATTTAGTGTGCATGTTAGGGTCCAGGCAAGTCGGTGCGTGTGCCAAGATATTTACCTCGACTGTAGGCACTCCAACTACTCTAGAGTACCGTCAAAGTTCATAGAACCACAAGCCTTATTCAGTCATTACTTGATCTCGGATCTATGCTTCTGAACATAAAGCCCTTGACTGCCTTATTAAAGCTATAAACTAACCTTTGAAAACAAGCTTATCATGCATGAGAAGAGGACCGGCCAATTCTAATAGGCCGAAGGTCTTAATTAATTTCCAGTTAAGTCACAAACAGGACTCAAATACCTTGGTGATCAATACATTTAAAGACCCTGGGCGTCAGGGGTTTAAGTTATAAATGACCGAATACCATGAGGGGATTTCGCTTTATTTAAAAGTTATAACCAGGAGATTATCCCTTGGCCCTAGGCACAAGTCAACCACAGTTCAGAAGATGGTCTCGAAGTTTCCATTATTCACCACAAAGCTCAACTCGACTGGTGATTTGGGGTAGCTTTGTTCAGGGCCAACTCTTCTTCGAGTTGTGCTTCATTCACTGGCTCACCCATTCAAACATTTTTATTAATAATTTATCAGAGTTCTGTTCATCCGGTACTCGTCGGTCCAGATACTCGTTGGGTCCTTCGCCACCTGGGTCTAATTACGACCGACCACTTAATAGATTGCGCACATTGTGTTATCTCGGACAAAATTTGCCAACTTCTGGAACCTAACAACTGCGCAACATGTGTGGAATGGAGACAGCCATTGAAGCATACTGTACTACCATAGCTCTGGAGAGGAAAAAAAGTGCCATAATGTCCATGAGCGCACCACTCCACAGTGGCATGTATATGCATACAAACCAGTGTTCCTCCGATCCTGTCGTGGCCGGAGTGTATCGTAACTGCTAATGCCACTCCTGAACTACTCGCGGTTGGGTTCTAGGCTACGGTCGACTGTACCAAGCCAGCTATAGATCGTTCAAAAACTAGGGCGGACTATTTGGACTGCATTGGGCTGCAGTCGTCCAGCTAAGACAGCCTGACGTCAATCATTTGGACGGACTGAACTGACTGGACGGACTGGACGGGCTATGGACCGC